TTTTTGTGCCTAATCAAGAGAAGCAAACATTTGCCTGGCTGGATTTCAAAACCATGATAGACTTGTAACTTCTTTTGACCTTGGATTCCTCCCTTTTAGAGGCAGAATGTCTGTAATTGTTATCCTGTGCCTGTCCCACCACTGTGTGTTAGGAGTGCTGGGGCAGATCGCTGGTCTAGGCGTCCAGGCCCGCAGAGAGGAATTGTGCCCCTGTGGCTGTAGGTGCTGGGTAAACCCAAGGGCCTCACCTGCACCCGAACCTTATTTAGATTTTGAACATTTAGCTGTTGAGATTTAGATCTATTAATGAGATGTCAGACTTTGAGCTCATCTGTAATGAGATGAGACTAGAGGTTCTTGGGAGGAAGTAGATGTATGTGGAAAAGCTGTGAATTGTTGGGGGCCAGAAGGTGGGCTATGGTAGGTAGCATTCTAAGAAGGCCCCTATTGTACTTACCCTGCATAATTCCCTCCCCTGGAGTGTGGACAGGACTTGTGACTACAAGGGGATAGCAATCCAGTGCTGCAATTGTATAGATGCAATTAAAGTCCCTTATCAGTTGACATGAGTTAACAGAAGGGAAAGTATGCTAGGTGGGCCTGACCTAATCAAGTGGGTCCTTAAAAAAGATAAGACTCAGTAATAAACACTCTCCTATTGGCCTTAAAGAAGCAAACTGTTATGTTGTGGAGAGATTTACATGTCAGGGAATGGGAAGTCTTTCAGAGTTGAGGTCCTTAGTTCTACAGCCCCCAAGGTACTGACTTCTGCCAAGATGCAGTGACCCGGGAAGAGGACCCTGAGTTTTGGATGAGACCACAGTCCTGGTCAATATCTTGACAGCAGCCTTGTGAGATCCTGAGCAGAGAGAATCCAGCTAAGCAATGGCCAAATATCTGACCTACAGAAACTGAGATAATATGCTTGTTTTAATCGCAAAGTTACAAAGGCTTTAAATCAGCCATTAAAAATATAAGAAATTGTATTCCAAGAAGCCAAATGAAATGTGCTCATAATATATAAACAGTTTGTTTCAACAGAGAAACAAACACTACAATAAAGAACCAAATGAATATTCACAGTTGAAAACTACAATAGCTGAAATGAAATAAGATGACAAGATGAGCTAAACAGCAGGTTTGAAGGGGCAGAAAAAATCATTGAACTTAAAGACAGACCAACAGAAATCCAATTTGAAGATAAAAGAAAGGAGCAGAAAAATAATTTTGAAGATATAATGGCTAAAAACCTTCTCAAATTAATGAAAACATTAGGCCTAGGATGGTGGCTTACACCTGTAATCCCAGCAGTTTGGGAGGATCACTTGAGGTTAGGAGTTCAAGACTCACCTGGCCAACATAGCAAGAACCCATCTCTACAAAAACAAAATCTTGTAAAAACTGAAAAACATTCAATTACATTCCAATAAGTTCAACAAAACCCAAGTTGATAAACACAAGCAGATCACACCTAGATACATCATCATCAAACCGCTATATGATAAAGACAGAGAAAATCTTAAAAGGCAGCATGAGAAAAATGACTCAGAACGTAGACAGAACAGTGTCAATGGAAGACTTTGCATTCAAAATGATGGAGACCCTAAACCCTTCAACTAGAATCCTATATCCAGCTAAACTTTCAGAAATTGAAGGCAGAATGTTAACATTCCCAAATAAACAAAAACAAAATTCAGTACAAACAAATCTACCCTAGATGAACTACTAAAGAAAGTCCTTTCGCTGAAAGAAAATGCCACCAAATGGTTATTCAGATTCACAGGAAGTAATGCAGAGCATGGGAAGTGGTACATATGTCAGTAAATATAAGAGACTCCATGTGTGTATGTATATATATATTTTTTTCTCCCTCTTCTTTTATCGTTTAAAGCAGTAATTACATCATTCTGTTACTGAGTTTATAACATATGTAGTATATGTCCATAATAGCACAGAGGAGGGGGTAGGAAATGGAACTACATGGATGCAAATTTGCTAAATTTTCCTGGAATTAACTCCGTATGAAGATGATGAAGACTGGGATAAATTCAGGGAACACACTAATCCCTACAGCAACCGCTAAAAAAGGTAACTCAAATAACATAGCTAAGAAATCAACAGGCGACATGTTTATTCTCAGTATGCAGATGAGGAAATGAGTAGTGAATTCTTAAAATTTTATGATGCCTCAGCATCCATTGTGAAGATACGCTGGACTTTCTCATATCAAGACTTAGTCACCCTTGATACAATTGCCAGTTCTCCGCCTCCTCCCAGTTCCTCAATGTGATCCATTCAGATATCTGCCTCATGCAACTGCCTCCTGGTGACGACCACCTCCCTATGGGGCAGCTAGACACAACCTACTTGACTTGCCCACTGACCCCCACACCCCACAAGGACTGTACAGAGATGCCACAGTGACCACCTGTCAGTCACAAGATGACCTCCTGGGACTCACCAATTAAACTCCCCTTGGGAAACCTGTTTGGGGAATGCCCTGGGCCCCCAAGAAAAGCTTTCTCCCAAAGGTTCCTCTCTCTCTCTCCCTCTTGTTCCCTGCATGCTGGTTGAGTGCATGTCCGGATGGCTCCACACTTCCTGTTGGCCCGTAAGGTGTGCTGCTCTCTTCTCTCTAGATCTGTAAGACATTGCTTCTGTTTTTAAAATAAGTTTTGTTGTGCTGCCTCCTCTGTGTCTCATTTGACCAACATACTTGAACTTAACTTCTTTCCAGGTCAGGTATTTCCTAGAGAGTGGCTGTCCTAAGAGAAATAAACTGAACACAGGTCAGATAAGAGCCACAAAGGTGTCTTCCTGCATAAGTAAGTTTCCTGTGACACCTGGACATGGGTCAGACACTGAGGTGGTCTACCAGGATAAAGAAGGATCCTGTGAAATGTACACTGTAAACATTCACGACTCCTGGAACCCCAGTAGGGAAGAGCTAGAGTTTATACCTGCTCTCCTAAGAGACTTCAAGATCAAATCAGACAAAAACAGAAGAGTTCTAGAAGATGACATGTCCTGCCACCGCTAGACTGGCTCCCGGGACTCCCGATTCACACCTTCCAGTGGGCAGGTAAAGGCAGGTGGGAACCCACACAGGCAAAATAAACGGATGTGAGAGAATGCACATATAGGCTTGTTCTCAGACTCTCTACCCACCAGTGAAGGGAAGGTTTTCTCAAGACATTATCAATTGCCACCAAGTCTATGGAAATATATTTCCTTTGACACACTCCAAAATATTATGTTTATTTTTTTCAAGCCTAAAAATTACTGCAAATGCAGGAATAAGAGGGGTGATTTCTCAAGGAAAGCTAATTAGCTGCAGGACCCAGCAAAGGCACAAGAAAATGCTGGTGTAGCCTTCCTGCACTCGTGATGGATTTTGTCAGCGTTAATTTCATGTCTGTCTGAACTGTCTTCTTGCATCTGCGAGGGCTTGACACTCCTTCATCAAGCTCCTACTGACACTGCAGAAACAGTGGGGAGGGAAAGGCTGGGTTGGCTTTCCTAACTCGCCAGACTAAGTAGGCACCTGTTTTCACAAGCCCCCGCAAGAGCACAAGGGGGAACCTGACCCACACTGCCCTCCTTTCAGAGAGAACTGAGCTGTGTTGGAGAGTTCTTACCATATTCCTGCCCACTGAGGCACTGTGTAATACCATGAGGATAAGTAACTAAATTACTTAAAACTTATTTTTGAATAAACACGGATGCTTACTGTGTTCCATATTTTATAAAGTATGAAAACGAAATCTAATGAAACCATGATGTGTGACAGTGCCTGAGTTAAGCCCTCACCTGCTCTGTGTTATTTAATCCTCCCAGTTTACCCAGCAGCTTTCTCCCAATTTTCAGATTAAAAAAACTGAAATACGCTGTCGTGAAGGTGCTGCAGATGGATCCAAGCTGGGCCAACTGGAGTTGTTTCTGGGTGATTATTAAGCTGATCCTGCCAAGATCTCTCAGAGACGAGAAGGTGTGTCAAAAACAGCCTGAGACACAGGTTGATATTTTCTAATCAACTGCACATGTGTCTTTAGCGCTTACATCTGATGGGTTCAAAAACAATCAGATCTGCAGTCAGTGTTCTCACATTTTTTTAATCATTCATGTTGGCTTTCACCAGACAGACAAGATCTCAGAATGATCTGGGATCCTTCACAAGACAGGGAAACTTACACAACAGCTGCTGCAGCACGCAATCTAACAATGGTTTGAATGACCGAACGGTTTTCAGAAACAAACTTGAAAAACAAATTTCATACAGAACACTATATTTCTCCCTGACACTGATGTACGATAAAAATTTTAAATGATATAAACGTGTTTTAAATGATGACTAAAAGTAAATGGCCACATCACAGCTAGGCATTGTTAGGAATTCACTCTTAAGTTTATATTAGCTTGGTAAAGCAAACCGTTTCCTCGAGATTTCAACTTTGGTTGGTCCTCTTTGGCTAACATGAACATTATGGAGTGCTAACTGTGGTAGCAATACATCATCAGAAGGCATTCTTTATTCAATAAATCTAGAATATCTCAATAACCTGAAGGAATCAATATTCCTAGTGTTTGTCTCTCTATATTGAGAAAACTCGAACTCAACATTTGAGGTATTATTAGTTTATGCAAAGCACGTTGCACGAGTCTGACCTTCACCCAGGCAGAAGTCTTCGCACCTGGAAATCCTTGTAAATACCAAAATAAAATATGTACCTTTTTTGCTAGTGAGAATAAAAGGCATGACTGTAAAATATACATCTTGATAGAAAAATAGTATAAGGTTTTAATTCTCTAAATGCCAGGGGTTAACATTTTACAATTACCCCTTTGAAAATGGGGTATTTTGAGACATTTTAAAAAATGTTCAAAATCAGCACAAAACTTATTCACATTTTTACTAAATCCAACATACTTTCACACACAGCAAAATGATTTCCTTGTAAAAGCAGGGCAGCCAAGTTTGGGGTAGGCTGGCGTCACTGTGCTTAGCTAAATCTTTGTTGGGTGCAGAGTCCGTGCCCACAATCCCCCTGGCTGGGCTCCTTGGTACAGAGGCACTTTATCACATGTGCTCCTTGAAGAACCATTTCTGATGATCTGAGTTGGTGCAGTCTTGTAAGAGCGGAACGAAGCTGTCGCTCAACTCCTTTCTTAAAGCCTGGACACATTTCTTGGACTGTTTGTGAAATAAAGAACCATCCTACAAAAGACAATAGACATTGCATGTTCAAGGGAATGACAGGTGATTCCTCAGAAAGTCTCCTTTTCCTAAAAATGTGTTCTGAAGAGCTCAGCATGTGATCGCTATCATTTCAGAAATATGTACTGTGGGGTAACCATCTTCCATGTAAAGTGGCCACTCAGGTTGTCCCATTCCGCCACAGGCTACATCTCGCTTGGCTCTCGAGAGACCGATGGTGCCATCTGCTGGCTACTCAGGGGATCTGTCAGACCCTATGTCTCCCATGGCCTGTCGTTTCCTTTAGGGAAATCAGAAACAAAGATCCTTTGTCCTTTTACTCCTCTTAGGTCAACTAATTCCACTCCGGGTGAACTTGTTCTCTTACGTATTTAAACGGAGAGTGTGGAGTCTTGGCTACAGTCCCAGCTCAGCCACAGACCGGCTGGGTGAGGAGGCAAGTCACTGGGCCACCCAGCCTAGGTTTCTCACCTGTCAAATGTGGGAGAATGAGAGCCGTGGGTTCTGTGCACTATGCTAATCCCCAAACCCCAAAAGACAATGATCTTCCTTAATGACCTCCCCTTCTCTCCTTTCTCCTAGGCTTGCTGAGTGACCTCTGCACATCTCTCTCCAAGGCCAGGGGTTTATCTATTCCCTCTGCCTCTCTCTGAATAGAGGCTGAGTAGCAGATAAGCAGAATGAATGGCATACCTGTTCCAAGGGAAGAGAAGTCTTGGAAATAAAATTAGATGCAATAGAACCTCAACACAATTAACCCTGAAACCCCTCTCAAGGACCCCTAAGTTGCCTTTAGAGTAATTTACAAATAATTCACCAAATGAAGTGTCCTTCTCACCCTTCTAAATAATCTTGCTTTTCCTTAAATGGTCACTGAAATTTAAGGTAACATTTTTAGTGATATGTTAAACCAATTTTATCATTTCTAGCTTTCATTACAATTCCTTGAGGGCTTACAATGATGCACAGCTGGGAGAAATATGACAAGGAGAGGGCACTCAAGAAGCTCACAGCCTTTGGGGTATCTTTCTTTCCTAACATATTCGTGAGCAAACTTTTCACTTTCCTAAGAGTGGTTGAAAATTTAAAAAAAAAAAATCTGAAGCTCATTGCTGCAAAGTTCTGTTGTAAGCACAAATGAAATGGTCTTTTCTAAATTGTCACCTTTTTCTCGATACAGCTGAAAGTTACAGACATATCCATTATTTGCCTCAGACACCACTCTGACTAGAATCTCATACTTTGTATTTTTATTCAGATTATAAGCCCCAAAAGACAGTCTTTCACGATGAGATATCATTGATTCATCCAGGGAAAGTTCTTGTTCAGGTTTGTATGCAGTGTTGAACTTATTTAAAACATAATTTATTATGGGTTCAATTTTGCATAATCTGCTTGGATTTGACTGTAATTCTGTATCATTGGAAAAATGCAACAACTGCAAAATCTGCAGGAATCTGTTTCGTGTCATTATTTTTTAAAAGAAAGGCATTGCAATTGATGGACATGTTGACCAATAATCATGCACTGTGGTTTTCTTCACTTGTCCCATCAAAATATTTAAGGCTAGAAATTTTTTCATCTCAGACATTGTAGTATTGCTCCAGACCTTTTGATTTCTTTGGACATTTTTATCTGTGGTGCATCTTATCACCTGTTAGTTTCAGTTGCGATCATTTCTATAAAATCATTTTCAATAAATAGTCTGACAACTTCACTTATACTTTGAGGATCATTTGGAAATACCTTAACACCCAGATTACCAAAAAGCACTTCTAAGTTTTTTTTTTATCATATTTTGTCCACTCAATGTCTGATTCGTTCTCATCAGTACTAGATTCACTGTCATAGATTATCTGTGTTATATTTCTTTGTTTACATTGCATCATTACATCACTGTCACACTATGACTAATAAGTTCACTGGATTCACCTTCGACCTTGGAAATCTCATCAGCATACATTGCTTAATTTTCCATAATTATAGTAAACTAATTTTTTTTTTTTTTTGAGTTGGAGTCTCACTCTGTCACCCAGACTGGAGTGAAGTGGCCGCTCTCGGCCACCGCAGCCTCGACCTGCTGGGCTCCGGTGATCCTTCCACCTCAGCCTTCCAAGTAGCTGGAACTACAGGCGTGCACTACCATGCCTGGCTAATTTTTTGATTTATTGTAGAGATGAGGTCTCGCCAAGTTGCCCAGGTGGGTCTTGAATCTGCAGGCTCAGGCAATCCACTCATCTCAGCCTCCCAAAGCACGGGATTACAGGCTGAGCCACCGAGCCCGGCTGGCAAACTATTTTTAACGTTGAAGTATAAAGCCCTGAAATATCAAAATGCAAGTATACAACACTAATCGCAACAAAATAACAACCAACTTGCAATTTTTACCAACTACGTGAATCAATAATAACATTGCACTGTCACTATCACATAGTTATCTCAGTTAGCTTTCTCTCTCCTTGCCTGACTATTAATTTTCAAGCAAAATATAACAACACATACATATGACAACGTTGCAACATTCAGAAACAGAATTTGGAATAATGTAAATTCACATCAGCAGCAACCAGGAACACAACTTGGAATGATGTAAATTGGTGTCAGCAGTCACAAATGAGTTAATATCCTGTATTGAATGGACAGCACTATGGTGCCTGGCTTTTCCAGGCAGCCTGCAAATTTCATTGCTAATTATAACATTTTTCTACAGGAAAACATATTCCAACTTTGAATCAGACTTAAAATTAACCCATTTGTAAGCAGTATAGAAGAATCTTTCCATCCCTGGGACCAGGATGGGAATGAAAGCTTCCCAGGGAGATAAAAGAGAACTACATTCTTTCTTCTGAGTTATTTTCTTTGGATCTACTCCCTCAAGTGCTTTGTGGTGAGTCAAAGGATATGATCGATTTACAAGTCCTATCACAAGCTAACTGCAAATGTGGTGGGGCCAGTGCCTTCGAGGCCTGCGATAACACTAGTTCCAAATCGACAATGACTCCCCAGAGTACCAACTCCATTGCATAATACCACAGTAACAACTCATCTCTGTTGCGCTTTACAGAGGCCAAAGAATGTTTCTGACTACACAGCTAAACCTCACTAGAATAAGGCAAGGTTGTTATGATCGTGTCCATTTTAGAGCCGGGGAAAATGAGGCTTAGAGAGGCAGAGTGGCTTATACCTAGATCTAACACTTTGGCTAACGTCCTTACGCTTGGGCTATTTGTCTTACTCTGTTAAAGCCAATTTCTTTTTTATATTTATTTTATTTTAAAGATGTGGGGTACAACTCAGGGTTAGGTATACAAATGTTCATTATGCATGTACCCTTGTTAAAGCCCTTTTTATCTCTGCATGTGTCTGCGAGAGCTCCTTTTCCTATCAGCCTCTGCAGCTCATGGGGCAAGAGAGACTGAAAGGAAGTAGACAGTGAGGAGGAAGGGAGCGCTACCGATGCGGATACTGTAGGGCTCCAACACTATTGCCATTGCCACCGCCAGGGGCTCATGATGACACTCCTGGCCTCCAAGAGCCCCCACACATGGGCGCATCCCTGAGCCTCGAAAGGACTTTGCCCAAGGGCAAGTCTGACTGTCACACTCCCCCTCACAGCCCGGGCCACCAGCAGAAGGACTAAGAACCCACTCACCTTCTGCAGGATGAACTTCTGGTTCTCGGGGGCAGTCTTTGCACAGAGTTGCATTATGAGGGTGTCTGAGCCTGCTTCCACAGCCACGCAGGCCTCCGGCTGGCGGGTGTTATAGCGTATTTCATTCTGGGACGTGTACTCGAAAAACTAAAAGGGAGGCAGTCAACATGTATCAGTGACCCTCTGACTCGGAAAGAGAAGAAACCACTGGATGAGAAGCTGATGTCACAAGGGAGTAGGAGGGAGTCAAGCACTCGTCTCACCACGGATACCAGCCTGTCTCCTTACATATCCCCACGGCTCTGAGTGGACCGCTAATGTGGTTCTTGCAGCTGTGAATAAAGTGGCCCTTTCTCATGCCTGACTCGCTTGCTAGATAGCGAGGACAGGGCTGGTGTGTGTCACCACGTGCCCACTGTGCCAACCCTGTGCTGGCACAGGACAGCAGGAGAGAAAATGGATCCAACTCAAGGCAAGCACTTGGAAACTCTCTGTGACCTTGACCAGACACTTTCTCTCCTCTACCTTAGTCTTTCCTTGCAACCCTCAACTATAATGGACACAACAGTGCCTGGAAAGTATCAAGTGCTGTGCACAGCAGACAACATGACTGCTAACAGGGAGACGTGGTTCTTACAGGGCAATGATTTTCCTACTCACAAGACAAGGAACAACCCACAGTGCCTGTTCAAAATACTGACTCCCAGCCCCGCCCTAGGGAGGGGAAAAAGGATACCTTCTGTCTGAGGTGGAGGCTAGGAAGCTGTAATTTTTTTAAGAGACAAAGTCTCACTGTGCCTCCCAGGCTGAAATGCAGTGGCACAATCATAGCTCACTGCAGTCTCTAATTCCTGGGCTTAAGTGATTCTTCCATCTCAGCCTCCTGAATAGCTGGGACTACAAGCGTATGCCACCACGCCCAGCCAATTTTTTGAAATTAATTTAGTATTAGTATTAGTATTTTTTATAGACAGGGCTTCACTATGTTGCTCAGGCTGGTCTTGAATTCTTGGCCTTAAGTGAGCCTCTCACCTTGATCTCCCAAAGTTCTGAGATTATAGGCATAAGATTACAGGCCCAGCCCATGTTTTGCATTTTTGACAAGACACTCACCCACCCACCCCACACCCTCCCTTCCAGGTTCTGACACAGGTGACTATTCTTAAGGCACATAGAGCAGCGCTTCTCAAACAAATCTCCTGAAAAGCTGGTTAAAACAAGAGCCTGGGATTCAGTTGGGTCTGAGAATTTACAACTCTAAACTCCCTGGTGATGCTGATGGTACCAACCTGATTGGTACCATCAGTTTTGAGGAACACTGTTCTTAAGTGTTAAGGAGCTTGAATAGTTTAATTTTGCAGGGTTTCGAATTACGAGAGTGTATTGGTGACCATAAGGAGACTTACTATTCAAGTGGAATTTGGTGAATTCAGATTGAAAGACATCTTTCTGAAACTTATTTTTTCAAAAGAAATTTCTGAATCCCCACCCCTTCATCTCTAGGTCTCTGATAATTCCTTAGAAAAGCTCTGAAGGTCTGGAACCAACACTTCTCCCAACTCCTGCATCCCGCAAGGGCCCTGCCCTGCTGGGTCCCTCTGCTTTCCTGGGCCTGGGGTCCTGTTCTGGTCCTCAGACCCTGCAGAACTGCACTTCCCTTGCCCAGCCTGAAATACAGCACTTTGCCCAGTAAGATGCCCCTGTGCTCTGGGATAAGATAGATTCCCTAAGCACTACCTTGCAGGGGGCTCTATGCATCAAAATTTATAATCCCACTGAAAAATGAATTCTAAAGAAATCATCCCAAAGGTAAATCTGTTCTTTCTCTCCTTCCTTCTTGCTGACTGAAGAGGTTAGCAGTAGGCTTATTTATCACTGCAAAAACAGGGAGGCAGGGATCAGTTAACTGAACAGTAATATGGGCATACAACGAAACATCAAGAGGCCATTAGGAATAAGATCCTCAAAGGATGTCTAACAACATAAGAAAAGTATGATGAAGTAAATGGAAATAACAAAATATAAAATGTACAGACATTATGATGGCAAGTATTTAAAATACATAATCTAAAGCCTGTGTATTAAAAAAGTTTGGGCTGGGAATCATGTCTCACGCCTGTAATTCCAGCACCTTGGGAGGCTGAGGCGGGAGGATCACTTGAGCCCAGGAGTTCAAGACCAGCCTGGGCAACATAGCAAAACCTCATCACTACAAAAAATACAAAAATTAGCCAGGCATGGTGGCACACATCTGTAGTCCCAGCTAGTCAGGAGGCTGAGGTGGGAGAATTGCCTAAGTCTAGGAGTTTGAGAGTACAGTAGGCTGTGATTGTGCCACTGCACTCCAGTAGGTGACAGTGAGACCATGACTCAAAAAAACTGGGAACAAAACTTGTCTTAGTTTTCATGGTGGTCTCTCTGGGTCCTGCCCATTCACCCTGGCTTCTACTTTTTATATTTCCCAAATATATTGCAAGAAGCCTATATAACTTTTATGATTAAAAATACAAATATTTCTCTCATTTTTTAAAACCACATAGCTTTCCCCTCGCTTCCTCGTCAGAGGCCCACACCTACCTGGTTCTGGCCCATCCCATGACAGAGGTACAGAAGGACCTGGTGTCCCACGATCTGGTTTTCATCAGGAGGGTTATAGTCAAAGCAGTATTCTTTCCGTCCTTTGTTCTGGAGCTAAACAAAACATAAAGGTGGCACTTCAGTCCAGATCTGCACATGCTGCCAGACTCCGCACAAGGCCCTGACAAGGTCAGTGGCATAAGGGGGGTCCTGTCTATGGACTGGACGCAAAGGAAAGAGCCCCCTCTGTGAAGCACTTGTGAGTTTCAAAGTGCATCCCCATTCTGTGCTGAAGGCAGGAGTCTTTGTTTACTTTATTTCATTATTTTATTTTTTGAGTCAGGGTCTCACTCTGTTGCCCAGGCTGGAGTGCAGTGGCATGATAATGACTCCATGGCTCACAACAGTCTCAAACTCCTTGACTCAGGCCATTCTCCAGCCTCAGCCTCCTGAGTAGCTGAGAGTATAGGCACGTGTCACCACACCCACGCTTGGCTAATTTTTTAATTTCTTTTGTAGAGATGAGGCCTAGCTATGTTGCCCAGGTTGATCTCAAACTCCTGGGCTGAAAAAATCCTCCCATTTCAGCTTCCCGAAATGCTGGAATTACAGGCATGAACCACTGCACCCAGCCAAGTAGGCAGGGATCTTTAATCCCACTTTAACATGATAAACCTGAGGATAGGAGAGATGAAACTCCTATGGCTTGAAAGCTCCTATCTCTTCATTTCTCATTAGAGGCAGCCTTATTGCTGCACTAAGACAAATATAAGGGGGGGGACCTCCCCCATTAAAAAAACCAGAATTATCTTTTGGAGGCTTCCTCCACGAGGCAAGTGTTCTAGGAACCCATCGGCATCGGTGTACCAGCTAGCATTGTTGTGAGAGGCTGTGTTGGGCATCAGTGAATTCTTTTTGGAGATTCTTTCAATATGTTTGTCCATTTCCTGATGGGTGATTTACAAGCACACCCGCCCACACCACACTGAGCATTCAGCAGTTTTGGACCAAAAATGATGTGACCCCCCCCAGGCCCCACCCTCCCTATTTCCCTATCTTTCCTGAAGTGGCTTTTTTTGTTTCTCCGGATGAAAAAAGTCCCCAAAGGGAAATATTTTGCTGATGCGGAAGAAGTCAAACAAAAAATGGCAGAAGCACTAAAGGGCATCGAAATTGACCAATTCAAAAACTGTTTTGAGCAGTGGAAAAGCATCTTGATTGGTGTATTATATCCAACGAAGAGTACTCTGAAGGTGCCTGAAGTTTCAATATGTAAGAATAAATACACAATTTTTTACAAATAAATTCCAGGTTTTTTGGGGGCCACACCTTGTACAGCTGGGCTGTCACCTCAAATGGAGATTAATTAGCCTAACTAATCCAAGCTGGTGATACAGAGAAATAATTCTTTTAAATGACTTCAGAGCACAGATGTTTGATGATGCTATCTAGTGAAGTATATTCTGTAAACAAATAGCGCTACAAAGAAATGATAAACCTTATTTATTATAACACTGTCAGTTGTAATACGATAGTACTGTCTTGAACTATTTTACATATACTTTAGGATAAAGAAAATAAGTGAGTCAGCTAAAATTATTACATTTTCAGTGTAAGAAAAGAGAAAGACAAATATCAAAAAAGAAAAAATCTTTTGAGATTACATTTGCATTTGAGATATCAATATGAGCTCATAACTTGTTTCTCAAAAATACGTATTTCTAATTAGCTGAGTGGCATAACACATGCCTACAGTCCTAGAGACTTGGGAAGCTGAGGTGCAAGGATCACTTGAACCCAAGAGTTCCAAGCTACAGGGAGCTATGATGGTGCCACTGTACTCCAGTCTGGGTGACAGAGCAAAATGAGTTTTTTTAAATAGTACACATTTTTTTTTCTCTGCCCACTGAAAAAGTTTAGAGCTGTGCTATTCCATGTGGTAGCCACTGGACCACATGTAGCTACTGAACACTTGAAATGTGACTACCCCAAATTGAGATATGCTGTAAGCATCAAATAGACACCAGATTTCAAGGTTTAGTACAAAAATAATGTAGACTATCTCAATAAGTAAATTTTTATATTAACTATATATTGAAATGATGTTAGTTGGGATACACTGGGTAAAATTAAACATACTAGTAACTTGTTTCTTTTGTAATATGGTTACTAAAACATTTGAAGTTACAAATGTGGTTTCGCATTGTATTTCTGTTGGACTGCATGATCAAGGAGCAAGGACATCCCACAGTAATGGGCACCACCAGCAACCAGATTGTGGACTCTGAACACCTTTCCCTACTGAAAAGACCAGCTCTGGGAGCAATGATGGGCAATGGTTAAGGCCTGCATGGGATAAGTTGGTCAGAATCAAGGTTATCGATGCCACTATAATGGGATCAAAAATCACAGAAGCCAAAATAAAGAGGCTGCTACTGGCCAAAGATGGGACAATTTGAATTTTTTTTTAAAGATAAATTGATCAAAACATATTGGTATTTAAACACTCATTGGTTTACAATAATACTCAAAAAAAAAGAAAAAGCAAAAAAAAAAAAATGAGCCAACAAAACAAAAATACAACCCAGTGTATACAACTAGAGAAAACTAAAGTACCAACTCTGGCTCTGAAAACAGGCAAATAGAGAAAAAGACTTAAGAGTTTTTTGTTTTGTTTTAATTCCTTGTTTTATTTTATTTTAATTTTTTTTGAGTCAGCGTCTCACTCTGTTGCTCAGACTGGAGAGCAGCAGCATGCTCAAGGTCACTCCAGCTTTGATCTGCTGGGCTCAGGCGATCCTTCCGCCTCAGTCTTTCAAGTAGGCAGAAATACAGGCGCGTGCTACCACGCCCGGCTAATTTTTTAATATAACGTAGAGAAAAGGTCTCACCAAGTTGCCCAGGCCGGTCTTGAACCACTGGGCTCAGGCAATCCTCTTGCCTCGGCCTCCCAAAGTATTGAGATTACAGGTTTGAGCCACCACACCCAGTCTCTTTTTTTAATTCTAAAGACGTGGGGTACAGATTAGGATTGGATACAAGGTAGTCTATGTACAGATGAAGTTTGGGCTTCCTATTGGACCTCACTTTGCCTAGATTGGGATTATTCACTCTTACTGATGCTGTGTGCACCCTCCCACCCCTGGCAGTGTCCTGCTACTGCCAATCCCTTTCTTATAGTGTTATGATAGGTATTCAGGGTCCACTTATGAGTGAGAACATGCGATACTCAGTTCTTTGTTTCTGTGATAGATCACTGAGTATGATAGACTCTAAATCCATCCAAGGTGCTGTGAAGTATGAAGCCCATAGTTTTGTCCTTCTTTATGACTGCATAATATTCCATTGTGTATATGTACCACATTTTTAAATCGGTGACTTAAGAGCTTCCCATGCCTTTCCTGTATGAACTCTAAGAATCATGTATACCAGATTGCTTTAATGAGGGAATATTCTTCTCTACAGAAAAACTCCAGTTTATCAACAGGGAAGAAATGAAACAATGAGAGAAATCATCATTCGGCAACTCTATTTGAAATAATGGGTCCAGGCAATGATTATCAATAGCTACTAAGAACATTAGTCAGAGGCTGATGGGGAGCCTTATAATGGATGGCCCAGGGGAGGTTACTCCATGAACCCACTGATCAATCTTGTCACTAAAATCAAGATGACCAGATACCATGTGCTTGTGATATGACACAACATGAATACACACCACCACCCACAAAGTGTTCTTGCCAAAAAAGTGGATTCCCAACTCTAATGAAACCTTTCCACCTCACTTCCGTTTTAAAGAAATATAGTGGAAAGAGGCACCACTTAAAGACACCACAAAGAAACAAATCATTCCAAGAGTGAGACACTCCACAGACAACTGATCTTGTTCTTTCGGCAAGTTAAAGGCAATAAATAAAAAACAAAAGCACCATTAACTACTGTTCCCACCTTTCCCCAAACAACAGCAAGATATGTTTTGTTAGAGGTTTTATTTATTTTTAATGTTTTCTATAACTAAAAAATGTATAGCCTGTCAAATTGCTATTTTCATAATCAAGATACAATTTTTAAGAAATTAATTCTGTCTTAAAATGAATGTTCTGACCTTTTATAGATGTTTTAAATAATTTTAAATTATGGAGCTTGGCAAAGACTTGCCAATAAACTTTCTAGTCAACTAAAAAAAAAAAAAAAAAAGAGGAGAACTACTGTAGATTAAAGGAGACATAGGAGACAAGACACAGCAAACACACACAATGTGTGACCCTGTTCAGTTCCCAGTTAGAATTAGCTAACCACCCAGAGAAGTTCAAAAAGTTGGGAGAATATAAATTAGAACTAGATCTTAAATGATACCAGAGACTGTTGTTCATTTCTGCAGTTTTGTAAGATAACTCCATATTTTAGAAAAACATACTAACACACATAGAAGTGAAAGAACATGATACCTGGATTTTGCTAGAAAAAGAAAAACATGGTGGGTGGAGGAGAAAAGAGGGAAAGCAAGAGAGAACAAAGCTCAAAAATTCTAGAATCTCAGGGACAGGACTCATCGTGCTATTCTCTCTGCATTTCCATCTAGAGTAAGTCCTCTACACGTAAATGAGTTCTGTTCCAAGAGCACGTACATAAGTCCAACTTGTTCATAAGCCCCACAAAGTTAGCCTAGGTACCTAACATAAACAGCTATATAGTACTGTACTGTAATAGGTTTATAATATTTTTCACATAAATAATGCAGGTTCTAGTTCCTTGCCGGATTCAATTCTATCTACCCTCTTGAAAAAGTGATTCAGTGATGTCTGAGTAGTAACTCTTTTTTTCTCATCATAGATGATGCGGTAGCAATGGATTGCATTCTGAACGGCTGATGTAACCTTTGTGTAATGTTCTACATTCATATCCTATGCCTCAAAATCTAACAGTGCCTCCTCAAATAGTGTGAACACATATTTGCATCTTTGAAAGTTTGCAACTTGAAAGTTTGTATGTAGGGGACGTACTGTATTTTAATATTTTCATAATGAAAATGGAATGCAACAATAATATCCTGCTTTGTATCTATCAAAGGCTTCCAGGAGGGAACAGCAGCAATTCTAATCAACACAACACAGCAGAGGAGACCTCATTAAGTTGGTGCAATTCCTAGCAAAAGACACTGGACATTTTCAATGGCCTATCCCAGAAACATTTCTTTTAGATTTTCTGAAATACTAGAAGTGACTCTCCTAGTACCACTATTGCCTCTGCAGACTCCTAAATTGGGAACTATTAACAGGTCCAGTCAAAGGAATGAGCTAAGTGTTAGTAAAACCTAGGACATGGAAACACCAGATAAGTCTCAGTTTCCTTCTCTATAAAATGAGAGGCATACAGTTGTCAATTTCAAGAAGAATTTCAGCTCTGACAGTCTGTACCCAAGGCTCAGACACAAGGAGAAGGAAGGACAGTGAATAAAAAGGTGGAGGAGGGGCATGGGAGTGGAGGAAACCAGCAGGCCCCATACAGGCGCCTTTCTTGTATAGATTTACTGATCAGACCTAGAACCAAGAAACTCCTAGCCCATCACAGACTTGTCTCACTCACCATCCCGAAGAAGCCAGCCCTGTCTTCAGGCACATGCAGTTCTGGATACACAGTCTCCAAGAACCACTTGAAATCCTTACACTGGAGCTTGGACCGGAGCTGCCTCCTCTCTGTCACGTCCCCAAAGGGTTCCTGAGAAAACAACTGAACAGTGAGTCCCTGCACATTCCAGTGCTTCCTATGAGTCCCCCTCTCTTCACCGATGCCTACTCACTAACAACCAACCAGCTTTCACTGCATCTATCGTGTGTCAGGCCATGTGCAGGGCACAGAGGGTAAAACACAGCCTCACACCTAGTTCTGGCATTCACTGTCGCACAGAACATCCCATTCCCAGGTGCCCTCACTATAGGGAGAGTAGCAACCCGACGCACAAAATGGCAGAGAACAACCTATCCGCTATGTCCCTGGACCCTGGAGCTGTGACCCATGCCTGTGATCACAGAGGTCATCATGACACCCACCCAGCAAAATATCAGTTATGCCATGACATTTTCATTGACTATTAATATCTGAATATTCACTTTCCAACACAGGTGAGTATTCTAAATGTAACTGTGTTCTCAATATAGGAATATCAACATATACTTATGATGGTAAGAGCAAAATGCTGTGATAAATACTTTTGGAAGTCTAGTTTTATAAGCAAAACTAATGATTGAAAACTTTTTAATAATTAAATAAAACAAGCCTCTATTTAGTCTGACAAATGTGTAGCCACTAAAAAAATGCTGTGTGTAGAGATATTACTGTCCCTGCATGTGTTATAATGTTAAAATATTAAAAACTGACAAGTTAAATATTGAACAAAATGGTAATAATAAGTAAATATTTGAACACAATTTCACATTTCTGCTATTTCCCAGAAGATCTTTCATTGATAGGAGTCACTGTGCCCCCAGATTCAACCAAACATTCATTTTAACACCCAGCCCTAGGGCATGCAGTCTAACAGGGCATTCAGTGCACCTTCACCATATACTCAGGGAGCCCTTGGAAATAAGGAGTTATGACTTCCAGACTGGGCAACAGGGAAGAGCAGGTGTTTCCACACTGCAGCACTGGGCAAGATGGAGGAAGCAGAGGCAGATGACCACAAAGCCCAGAGCAGAGAGGGGCTGAGCAGGAGTCAGGTGGAGAGCACATGGGGCTCTGAGAAGAGCGAGAGGTATACAGGCCCCAAGCCCTGTCCTACCCCACAACAGCTTCGAAGCCTTGACCTTCTGTTTCGCTCTCTCTGAGCTTCTGTTTTCTCATGTCCAAAATGAGAATTTCATTGTAATCCTGCAGGGTTGCTGGAAGGACTCAGAAGACACCTCCAACAAGTGGCCAGATGTGAAGTCTAGTGTAAGACCTTATATGATGCCCACCAGTTCTCCTAGTTATGCAAACACAGGATTGGTGGGCGCCCTGTCCTGGGGCATGCAGAGCTTGGGCAGAGGCAGCGGACAGTATTGCAGCTGAAGCCCAAGATCTTCTAAGAAAGAAGGGGCAGATCCCTAGTCCACAGTAGTCCCCAAGGCAGGGGCAGAACAAGGCTCTGGGGCAGACAACAACAAGCCCCTGAGATGAGTCACCTCGAGGAAAGACAGTCTGGGCTGAGCCCACCAGTTCTGAGCAGGGGCTTGAGCTAGTGTCAGTGCAGCACGTTTCAGAAGCCCAGGGGAAGCAAGCCAACAGAGCTAAGATCTCAGCGCCCAAGAGACACCTTTACCATGACTCAGACAGACAGGCCCAGCATAGCCTCCAAGAGGGGAGGTGGACCAGGGGACCCTGTCTCCAATAGCCTCAACATATAGCAAGAAAGCTAGCAGAAGGGCCCTGGGTCAGCCTGGGCAAATTGGTGAGACCTCATCTCTACAATAAAATCAAAAAATTAGCTGGGTATGGAGTGCATGCCTGTAGTTCCAGTTACTTAGAAGGCTGAGGCAGAAGGATCATCTGAGGCCAGAAGGTCGAGGCTGCGGTGACCGTGAACATGCCACCGCACTCCAGCCTGGGAGACAGAGTGAGACTCCAACTCAAATAAATAAATAAATAAAATAAAGGAAATTAGCCAGGTGTGGTGGCGCATACCTGTAGTTCCAGCTACTCAGGAGGTTGAGGCAGAAGGGTCACCTGATCCAAGGAGGTCAAGGCTGTGATCATGCCACTGCACTCCAGTCTGGGTGACAGACTGAGACCCCAACTCAAAATGAAATGAAACAAAAGGAGGTGTCTTGAAACAGACACACACATAAAACAGGTGTCTATGTTGATCAGGTGACAAAATTGTCATGACCCAGGTCTCGCAGGAACCTAACCCTACATTTCTCCCAGGAGAGAGGGTTCAGCTTTTACTAATTCAGTGTCTGCAGTGGCTTTATGAACAATAACTACGGAATAGCAAGAACTGACTGTATATAAGTACTGTAGATGGAGGAGTAAAACTTTCCTGAACTTGTACCAGAGGGCTAGGAAGAGGCCTCCAGGGGGAGATTACGGACCTCTAGTCAATGAGCAATAACTTTAAGGTAAAGAGCTGGGCCTTAATTCGCACCTGAGTGTGTGGACTCAATCCTACTTGCTACAGAGAGGAAAGCCATATCTGTGCACAATGCCTGACACGCGACACCACATGACCCAGACGGTTCTTGTCAGTACAATCCACCCGAATTAGCCACTGGTTCTGTATTTGCGAATCTGCCCATGGGATAAAATTTTTTTTGTTTTGTTTTGTTTGAGTTGGAGTCTCACTCTGTCGCCCAGACTGGAGTGCAGTGGCCGCTCCCGGCCACCGCAGCCTCGACCTGCTGGGCTCCAGTGATCCTTCCACCTCAGCCTTCCAAGTAGCCAGAACTACAGGCATGCACTACCACGTCCGGCTGATTTTTTTATTTACTGTAGAAGTGAGGTCTAGCTGCCCAGGCGGGTCTCAAACCCGTGGGCTCAGTCAATCCACTCACCTCAGCCTCCCAAAGGCGCGGGATTACAGTAAAATTTATTCAGAGCCCCCAAATCAATGCTTGTGGTGTTTTGAGTTTTCAGTTATTCATAACCAAAACTTGAGTTGCCCAATACTCACATACCCAGATGAGGTTAACCACAGTACTGCTCTGCCTTCTCGTTTCAGCTCTCGTAACATAAACATGTGTGTTTTTCACCATGTTTTTTTATGCTTTTGTGTTGGTGACTTCATCAGGCATTCTAAAATGGCCCCCTGCTCTAGTGCTATAGTGCTACCTAGTGGTCTTAACTGCCGAAGGCTGTGATGTATCTTACGTGCGTTAGATAGGCTTAATCAGGCATCAGTTCTAGTGCTGCTAGCTGTGAGCTCAATGCTAATGATCCAACAGTATACACTAAATGAGGTGTCTTAGGAGCCAGATGTGGTGGCTCATACCTAGCACTTTGAGAGGCCGGGGCAGGAGGATTATTTGAGCCCAGCGGCTTAAGAACAGCCTAGGCCAACATAGCAAGATCTCATTTCTACAAATTTTTTTTTTAAATGAGCCAGGCACAGAGGCTCATACCTATAATCCCAGCACTTTGGGAGGCCGAGGTAAGAGGACTGCCTGTGACCATGGGTTTAAGACTAGCCCAGGCAACGTGGCAAGACCTCATCTCTACAATAAATCAAAAAATTAGCCAGGCATGGTAGCGCATGCCTGTAGTTCCAGCTACTTGGAAGACTAAGGCGGAAGGATCACCTGAGCCCAGCAGGTCAAGGCACAGTGGCCATGAGTGTACCACTGCACTCCAGCCTGGGTGATAAGAGTGAGATTCCAACTCAATAAATAAATAAATAAATAAATAAATAAAATTAGCCAGGTGAGGTGGTGCATACCTGTAGTCCCAGCTATTCAGGGGTTGAGGAAGAAGGGTCACCTGATCCAAGGAATTCAAGACTACAGTAAGCTGTGATCATACCACTGCACTCCAGTCTGGGTGACAGACTGAGACTCTGACTCAAAATGAAATGAAACAAAATAAGGTGTAACACACACACACATAAAACAGGTGTCTGATCAAGTGACAAAACTGTCATGAACCAGGTCTCGCAGGAACCTAACCTACATTTCTCCTAGGAGAGAGGGCTCAGCTTTCACTAATTCAGTGTCTACGGTGGGTTTATGAACGTAACTACTGAAAATAGCAAGAACTGACTGTATATAATTACTATAGATATAGGAGTAAAACTTTCCCAAACTTGTATCATGAGAACCCAACTGATCCTCTATTTCTAGAACCAGAACTACCACAATGAGGAAGCCATGTTTCACTGCTTTTGCTCAGATGAAATGAGCAGGAGCACAAGCGGCCAATAACTCACCAAGCGGGCACGGGGGTTGCGATGGTAGTAGAGCTCTTTAAATTCATCCATCCACACTTCAGCTGCACGGACACTGTTGGCAAGAGCCTTGTTGCGGGAGTAGGGAGCTTGCTTGGGGAAGACGTGGCCCACGTGGGAACACGGGTGTGTTTCCAGAGTCCCGCCACACTGCCAGATCTGAACACAGAGCAGAGGAGAGACCTGGCTGGTGAGCAAGGGACAAGCTTCTGGGCCATGACATCTTCAGCTAGGAGGCTGGCACACAGAAGTCATGATGGATACTGCCAAGACGCTCAGAACCCATGGGACAGGAGGTCACTTAGCCAGCACACTCATGACATGGAATGCAGAGAAAAGCAAGAAGGCAGCCCCACAGACAAACAGGCCATGGGAACCAAGACCCCCAATTCCATGCACTAGAGCTCATGCACTTGACTCATAGGAGTGCCCACAGAGACCTCGCTGGCATCCAAGTTACTCATTACGTGAGAAACAGGCTCGATTACCTGATCTCCTAGTCACAGAAGATAGGAAAGCAGCAAGGAAGAAGAGAGGTTTGGAAGGGAGAAAGGAAGAACTTCTAGAAACAGGCAGAGCAGCCTGACACCTAGGGAAGAGGCAGAAAGACCATTAAAAGTACACCCAAAGACTCAACCAGCAGTTATGTGGGGCCATTCACACGAGAACAAATGGCCATGAACATCTCATTTTTCCAAGGACACTACAACCAACATAGCATCTGGTAATTATTATGGAGGGTGTGAGCTCTCAGTGAAAGCCAAATTCTTGTTTATTAACTCCTTTTATGAGGGTGAGGCACCATATAAAACCTTAAAAATCTTGATTTTCAGCCGGGCTCGGTGGCTCAGCCTGTAATCCCGCGCCTTTGGGAGGCTGAGGTGAGTGGACTGCCTGAGCCCATGGGTTCGAGACCCACCTGGGCAGCGAGACCTCATCTCTACAATAAATCAAAAAATCACCTGGGCGTGGTAGCGCATGCCTATAATTCCGGCTACTTGGAAGGCTGAGGCGGAAGGATCACCGGAGCCCAGCAGGTCGAGGCTGCGGTGGCCAGAAGCGGCCACTGCACTCCAGTCTGGGCGACCGAGTGAGACTCCAACTCAAAAAAAAAAAAAAAAAAAATCTTGATTTTCAGTTGTAAAGCACAAACATTTATGTAAAGTTTTGATGCTTAAAATGTTTCTGCTAACTAGAAAATCTACTGGAATGGTATATATATTTTTAAAGGTGTGTCCACGGGCCATGACCAATAGAATCAGTAGGTAGGATTGTTACAAAGAGCAGAATCCTGGCCCCATCCTAAATCGATGGAATCTTTTAGACTATGCCTGTAAATCTGCCTTCTTAACAAGTTTCCCCAGAAATTCTTCCATGTGTTAAAGTTAGAAAGCTACTGTGCTAAATAAAGAGGCTACCTCATAAGGAGTTAATCTAATAAAGTCACAAGAAGATGGGATCAGGAGGCAGGAACCCGTGTTTTAGTCCAGTCTGCTACTACCTCTCCGAGTGACCTTGAACAAGTCACTTCCCCTCTCCTGGCCTTCCCTCCTTCCTTCTATGGTGAGAGAAGAACTACATGACTTGCAAGGCCCTTTCCAGCCCGAAATCTATCCAAAGCACATTTTTTAGAAAGTTTGAATACAGAGACGAGCATGTTTATAGGATGTGCATGTCATCATCGTCTCTCAGGATCACCGGATAAAATGCCCACAGGGAGGGAAAGTCCACCAGGCTCTCATGGCAAATGCCATCATTCCCAAAGACAGAAAGACTAGGTTAAGAATGAGTCCAAAGAGAAGGCTGGAATACTTACCCTAAAAGAGAATTCGAGGTTTTCTCCTCCCCAAACTTCCATTCCTGTATCATAAGACCCCAGATACTCAAAATATTTCTTACTCACAGCAAACAGCCCACCAGCCATCGTTGGAGACCTAGAAAAGTGTGATATCCATATTTCACTTAAAATATACATATTTCACTTACACATTTCACTGACAGCAGGAAACCATCACAGTAAGTCAAACTGCCTTCCTACCACAAGCCCTTTCACCCATCCATCCACCTTTAAGGATATCCTAAGTTAACACTCTGTGCCCAGCTGGAGGCACAGATGTACCTATAGTTCCTGCCCTGAGGAGGCTCACAGGCATTTATCTCGACAGGCAAGGACTCTGTGTGCTAAGTGTGTTAACTCAGATTGGCAGGGACCCTGGAGGAACACAGAAGCTGGCAGGGCCGGGGAGGGGAGGGCTAAGTTTCCTGAAAGAGGTAAGGACTGCAGGACACAGAGGAGGAACAGAATGATTCTCAAGTGTGAGCAAAGGCCTAAGGGTGGAACAAACCCATGTACTTCTGAAAGCCTAGAGAGCAAGGAGAGGCGAGAAGCCCAAGACCACATTCCCCAAGAAGACAGCAAGCGCCAAGCCACAGCGACCTGTGGTCGTGTGAGGAGATGTGATCTCACAGGGCAGGTGCTGTGAGACCAGTAAGCAGAAGATCCCAAAAGGCAACTCTGGCACCTCAAAGTATCCCTCAAAGCGCCTCGAGGACAAGTTCCTGTCCTGTTTGAGTGGGTTCCTCTCTAGGACTCCAACACCCAGCACAACCTGCTTTAACTGGTCTTGTTTTTTTCCCTAGCAGGTTCATCTGGAAGCCAACACTAACTTCAGAAATGGCCTACGGCTTCCATTCTACCACAGCGGAAGGCTGTAAAGCCAGCACACCACAGAGATGCAGAGGCAAAAGAACCAATTCAGAAACAAGAGAAAGAGAACATTAAGAGATTACAATTTAAAATGTGAGCATCCTCCAGAATCATCATGGACTTCCCTGGACTTCAAGTTTTGGGCTACCTGAGAAAAGGATGGCAGTATTCCCTAGGGAAGGGCTGGCTCTAGACTACAAAGCACTTTCATATGTGCTCACCCTAAAAATCTAGGAAATAGGTAGGGTGAGTATGCTTATACCTGTTTCACAGATGAGAAAACTGAGGCATAGGAATATTATAGGACGGGAAGGATGGCTGTCCCTGAGTGTGTGAGAGGAGGGACAATCAGAGTTCAAGTCAGCATGACAGGCTAGATATATGACCCTAGATAACAGCCTTCCTACCCTGTGCCTCAGTCTCCAAACCTGTTCATTGAGAGGTTGAATAGGATAAGTCTCTCTAAGGGCTCCTCCAGAAGCCTAGGTGTCAACCTCAATTCTTCCCTTCCCCATTTCCCACTCAATGTCTCCCAATTCTTCTACCTCAACGTCTCTGGAATTCACCAGTTCCTGCCACCCTTTCCTGGACCATCAATTCTGGCCTGGAAGACTACAGAACTTCCTAATGGTGTCCCTGTCCACAACTGTCCCTTCAGGACCCACACCGCATGGTATCCAGCACCATGCTGAACACTTCCTGCTTAGATCCCTTTGGTGGCTTCTACCCCCTCATGGTAAAGTCCAAGCCTTGGCCTTTAAGGCCAGGCATGCCTTGGTCCTGCCCAATCTCTCCAGCCTTATCTTGCCACACTGTCTCTTCACTGGCGCCACTCCAGACAACAGTGGGTCACCTCAAGGTCAAGACTTACGATACCATTTTCAGTTCAATACACCAGCAATAAAGCTGAAGTCCCGAGCTCCTCCAGCCTGACACCCACATCTATCCCCCAACTACTTCTGAATGTGAAAGGGGAGGAAGAAGCCAGGCTATTACTCTAACACCTAGAGAATGAGAGCTGCTGATCCTCCCATGAACCTGCTCTACTTACACCTAGGCTTACCCCTGGCCAGACCTGGCGTCTCCACCCTCAGGTCCACCCACCCCCAAGGTCAAAAGGGGCTTAACAGTGTTTCCTCAAGAAGGACCACATGACCCAGTAATCTTGTTCCTAGGTGTCTACCCAAAAGAATTAAAAACAGGGACTCAAACAGATCATAGTGCACCCATGTTCAGAACAGTATTATTTACCACAACCTAAAGACATTCCAAGCTTCCATCAACAGTTGAATGGATAAACAAAATGTGGTATATATGTGCAAAGGAATGCTAATCAGCCATAAAAAGGAATGAAGTTCTGTAGGAACCTTAAAAGTATAATGTTAAGTGAAAGAAGCCAAATACAAAAGGAGAAATATCGTGGATTCCACTTCCGTCGAGGTACCCGAGAGAACAGAGGTTTCCAGGAGCTGGGAAGAGGAGAATGGGGAGTTATCACTTAATGCGTGCAGTGTCTGTGTGGGGCAATGAAAAAGCCCCCGAAACAGGAAGAGGCAATGGTTGCACAATATTGTGAATGTGCTTGATGCCGTTAAAAATCTCACACTTAAAACATGGTTAAAATGGAAAATCCTGTCATGTCTATTTTATCACAATTAATAAATTTAATTAATTAATTAAAATATACCCATATGAAAAGTAGCAGAGAGGGGGAAGAAAGTGGGGAGAGGCGGGGGGAGGGGAAGTCGCCAGTCGATCATCCCTCCAAGGCCTTCAATGACAGGTCGGCCGGATGCAGTAAGACCTGATTAAAAAACAGTGACCTGGCAGTCAACCCCGACCTGATGACATCGATGGGCGAGCGCATCCGCATCCTCTCCCTCTCAGGAACCCTGTGCCACGTGAACACCAGTCTCCAGTCGAAACCGCCAATCTGGGGCTCCCCGGAGTTCCCCAGGTACTCGAAGGTGTTCCAGTCGATCACATCGATCACCGGGCACACCACTGCCGACTCCTCCTCGTGGATCCTGAAAGTACCCAAGACATCCCATCTCTCCTATGTGGACAGGTGGCAGGAAGACCAAGAAAAGTCTAGAACGAATTCGCAGCTTCCTTCTAGAAGGAAGGAGGGACACCTGACAAATGCCTGCTTCTCTCATTCAAGGTATCTGCAGCCAAGCCAGAGCCTTGGCAGGTGGCCTCCTTGGTAGTAACTGGGTGGGGGGCTTTGATATGAAAAGTCCACAACCTGGCCCAACCCTTTATGAAAGTCAATACGCAAAAATATCAAAGACAAGTTTTGAAACAGAAAGCAGATTTTCTCAGGAGCATAAGAAGTTTAATCACTTTAAAACATCTTACTATAAGAAATAATTATCTAGCCGGGCTTGGTGGCTCAGCCTGTAATCCCAGCGCTTTGGGAGGCTGAGGTGAGTGGACTGCCTGAGCCCGAGGGTTCGAGACCTGCCTGGGCAACTTGGCGAGACCTCATCTCTACAATAAATAAAAAAATTAGCCGGCGTGGTAGTGCGCGCCTGTAGTTCCGGCTACTTGGAAGGCTGAGACGAAAGGATCGCCAGAGCCCCAGCAGGTTGAGGCTGCAGTGGCCAGGAATGGCCACTGCATTCCAGTCTGGGCGACAGAGTGAGACTCCAACACAAAAAAAAAAAAAAAAAAAGAAATAATTATCTCCCTAAGAACAGAGATGCACCCAGGCCAAAGGGTCAGCTTTGGAGTTAGAATATAAGTTCTAATTCTGTTCCTTATTCACTGGATGGCATTAGCCAAAGACACCAAATCTCTCAGAGCCTATTGTCTCAATAGTAACACTGGAATAATAATACTTAGCCATTGGGCTAAAATGAGGATTTCCCAAGAAAAAATGGCTGGCTGAAAACCTGGATCTATTGCTATTTTTTCTTTTAATTTTTGTTTTTTGTTTTTTTGGGGTTTTTTTGAGTCTGGGTTTCACTAGGTTGTCCAGGCTGGAGTGCAGTGTCACAATCATGGCTCACTGTAGTCTCAACCTCCTGGGCTCAAGCAATTCTCCCACTTCAGCCTCCCAAGTAGCTGGAACTACAGGCGTGTGCCACCATACCTGGATAATTTTGTTATTTTTTTGGAGAGATTTGGTCTCACTATGTTGCCTGGGTTGGTTTCAAACTCCTGGGATCAAGCAATCCTACTTCAGCTTCCCAAAGTGCTGGGATTATAGGTAGGAGCCCTTGTGCCCAGCAATTGTGAAATACTATACATAGTGAAAAATGATACACTTTCCTATTACAGGTATCAGCCTGTGTGTGGTTTTCAGCTGTTCTCTCTACAAACATGATTACATATCCAACCATCCTCCAGCACACTACTAGATTGTGCTTCTTTGCATTTTTGACACCATATCAGGAAAGGTGAACTGAGACTGGACCATGTGTAAACATCAGATTTCTAGATTTCTTTGGGTTACATTTTGGGGGCTGTTATCTGGAACCTGAAACCTAAAAGTCCCAAGAGTCACACCGCATTGGACAATGAGACAGAGATTGACCAGATCTGAGCTGTGTCTTTAGAGTAACACCAGAAAGTCAGCAGAGGGGATATTGTAAATATCACATTGGAGTCATAACTACAATTTGGGGAAGAAATTGCACCATTCAGGACAGATTGCATGAAACAGACTCAAACCTGTGTGTTTCCCAAACTGAGGAAGTTGCAGACTGGACATCTACCAACACTCTAAAGAAACTGAGGGCATTATTAAAAGTGTTGAGAGGGTCAATGTCAGACCTGCTGGGCAAGTTCCAAGATACTTGCCTAGCCCTTGGCAAAGGCCAGGTCCCCACGCACTGAGGATCTGTGAACAAGCTGGTTGGAAACACAGGTGGCCTAATTTTTATAAGAAGGGGGAACTGTAGGGGGGAGGGGTGCACCAGTGCTAAAGGACAGGACTCCAAGCCCTGGTGAAGAGAATGTGCAGGCCCCATGGGTATGGCGCTGGCGTCTGGGGAAGAACCCTTCTCCGCTGCACAGGGCTGACTGCACATTTTCTGAGACACAAAATGCCAGGACCACTAACCAATGGGCAGGACAACCAAGAATACTCTCCCACATTTCCAAAAGCCCCTGGAGGAAAGGAATTTCAGCTCCAGGCTGGGACCCTCTGAAGGATAGTCTCCAGCCCAATGTGTCCCAACTCCGGTGCACACCGAGTCCCCTGGAAAACTTTTGGAACATCCAGAAGCCCAGGTCTCACTCCCAGAGAGTCAGATCCACACGACTGGCCCGAGGACCAGGGCCCTGGTATGTTTTAAAAGTGCCCAGGTATTTCTAAGGGACAACCAAAGTAAAAAATCCCCTCATCTACAGTCATGGAGCAAGGACTTGGTCATGGGGAGGGCTAGCCCACTCACCCAGGGGGAGCTGAAGTGGAATTCTGGGTGGCATTAGTGCATCAGCTGAAAAGGAATAATGTCCCCCATGACTTCAGACTGGCTGAGAGGTGGCCATCTATGTGCACTGTGGGGAAGGATGGAGGGGGAACCCAACAGTTCAGGTTTCAGAGGGAGCACCCCGCTGTCACTATGTTCTAAATGAGCACAGACTCCATAGAAGGCCTGAGGAACCCCGAGTCTTTGCTGCTTAAAAAATTAGCCGGGCATGGTGGTGCACGCCTGTAGTTCCAGTTACTCAGGAGGCTGAGTTGGGAAAATCGTTTGAGCCCAGGAAGTCAAGGCTGTGGTGACCCATAATTATGCAACTGCACTCCAGCCTGGGCGACAGAGCGAGACCTTGACCAAAAAAACCAAGTATATTCTCTAGAAGTGCGATTCTATTTGATTGATGATTTCTAAAAATATTTTGGCTGGTGAGACTACCTAAGTTTTCTACCATAAACTTGGATAAGAAGGAAAAATAAAAACAAGCAATGGCACAGGGTCTCTTCCAGGGCATGTTCTAAGCACTTTCCATGTGTTAAATCACTTATCAGCCTCAACAGCCTGATGCAGGAGGGACTGTCATCATCCCAGGAAGGACTTGCCCAAGGAGTAGCTGAGCCCCGGTGCCCTGCTGTCCCTCAAGCAATGTGATGAGTTTGCTCCCGTTTCCAGGTGATGTGGGGTCCCTCCCAGGGGGGCGGCTCACGCACCTCTGCAGCAGCGGCTCCAGCCACCCCTCGTGGCACTCACAGTGACAGTCCAGGAAGGTCAGCACATCGCCCCTCGCCGCAGATGCCCCCAGCAGCCGGGCTCGTACCAGGCCCTCCCTTTTGCCCGCTCGGATCAGGCGTACCTTGGGCAGGCCCGACAGCTCATTGGCCAAGCGCTCCTTTAGGTGTTCTGGGGAGGCAAGCAGAACACAAGGGTCACCATGACACTTTCTTGGCGGAGTACCTCATCCCAAGCCAGGTCCTTCTGGACCTCCCTGCTCCAAAAAGAAGATGAAATAGACATGAGCTTCCTGTGCTCTGCCACCTGGGACGTCCTCTTCTCATCCAGAACTGAGGTTGGAAGTTCTCTGAAGGTTGGGGTCAGGCTGGGGTGAAGGAATTCCAGAACCACCATCAAAACACAGGCACGCTGAATTGTACAGTTTATTCTTATTTATTTCTTATTTTTCTGAGTCGAGGTCTCCCTCTGTCACCCAGGTTGGAGTGTAGTGGCAGCCTCAACCTCCTGGGCTCAAGCAATCCTTCCACCTCAGCCTCTGAAGTAGCTGGGACTACAGGCTCACACTACCATACCCAGCTAATTTTTAAGTTTTTTGTAGAGATGAGGTCTCACTGTGTTGCCTAGACTGGTCTCGAACGTCTAGACTCAAGCAACCCTCCTGCCTCAGCCTCCCAAAGTGCTGGGATTACAGGCCTGAGCCACCACTCCCAGCTCATCCTTGAAACAGAAACAATTCAAAAACTCATTAGAAGAATGTGCTCATTCTGTTTTGCAGAAAAGGAAATGAGTCGAAAGGACCCACCCACATTTAGCAGAGGCCCCCAGGTCTCCCAATTTCAGAGATAAGAATGGAAGCCAATTCACATACCTCAATGGGCCAGGGGAGGCAGGTGGGAACCCATTCAGGCAAAACAAATTTTGAGCAGTTTTCAACATCAGTGTGGACTTTGGGCTCAAAGGCTTCAACCATCAGCGAAGGGAAAAATGTTGTTAAATGTTTCAGGTTGCTTCACAGCTTATGAAAATACTTCTCTAAATATCTTTGACACTTAAAAACATTCATTGATTGATTTTTTTTTTTTTTTTTTTTTTAGTTGGAGTATCATTCTGCCACCCAGGCTGGAGTGCATGTGGCATGCTCATGGCCATCGCAGCCCCGATCTGCTGGGCTCAGGCAATCCTTTCTGCCTCATCCTTCCTTCCAAGTAGCTGGAAATACAGGCGCGTGCTACCATGCCCAGCCGATTTTTTGATTTATTGTAGAGACGAGGTTTCACAAAGTTGCCCAGGCTGGTCTTGAAACTGTGAGCTTAGGCAATCCTCTCACCTCTGCCTCCCAGAGTGCTGGGATTACAGGCTTGAGCCACTGCGCCTGGTTGATTTTTTTTTTAATCCTAATTATAACTGCAAATAAGCTAATGGCAGAGGTAACTTAGCAAGCAAAGCTAATTAGCTGCAGGGCTCAGCAAAGAGACAAAATGCATGTGGAACCTCCCCGCAATTGTGAAGGATTTTGTCAGCATTAACTTTACGTCTGTCTGAACTGTCTTCTTGCATCTGGGAGGGCCTGACACCCCTTCATCAAGCTCCTACTGACATTGCAGAAACAGTGGGGAGGGAGAGGCAGGACAGGACTTCCTAACTCATCACAGACTAGGTGGGCACATGGCTTGTCTTCACAAGTGCTCACAGGATATGAGGGAGAGCCTGACCCACACTTCTTTACAATAAATCAAAAATTAGCCGGGTGTGGTAGCGCGCACCTATAGTTCCAGCTACTTGGAAGGCTGAGGCAGAAGGATTGCCGGAGCCCAGCAGGTCAAGGCTGCGGTGGCCGGGAGCGGCCACTGCTTCCCGGTCACTGCACTCCAGTCTGGGCGACAGTGAGACTCCAACTCAAAAAAAAAAAAAAAGTCCAAGATCTCAACCATAGCCGGGCTCAGTGGCTCAGCCTGTAATCCCAGCGCCTTTGGGAGGCTGAGGTCAAAGCAGATGGATTGCCTGAGCCTGAGGGTTCGAGACCAGCCCAGGCAACTTGGAGAGACCTCGTCCTTATTATAAATCAAAAATTAGCTGGGCGCGGTAGCATCTGTAGTTCCGGCTACTTGGAAGGCTGAGGCGGAAGGATTGCCTGAGCCCAGCAGGTCGATACTGGGGTGGCCGTGAGCATGCCATTGCACTCCAACCTGGGGAACGGAGTTAGACTCCAACTCAAAAAAAAAGAAAAGAGAGAGAGAGAGAATTGAGCTGTGTTGGGGAGTTTATACAATATTTCTACCTGCTAAGGAGTTATGTAGTATCATAAATATAAACAAATAATCTGATATTTGCCTTTAGATTAATATATTTGTGAAATGCTGTTTACACTTTTTGTAGTTTCTTAAACATCACATAAAAATAGAAGTTGTCACCTAACAAGAGCTAACTCTACACCAGGCATCAACTCAGCACGTTACCCATCTTATCTCATTTAATCCTCACAATGATCCTGCAAGGTAGAAACTACTATCATTCCCATTTTATAGGGGCTGACACCAAGGTTGAAACTGGTTAAGGTCATTGCCCAACGTTGCATAGTCATTAGGTGCTGGAGGGGGGATTCAAGCCCAGGCAGTGTGACCCAGAACCAGTGGCTACACAGAGAGGTTTACGACAACCCTGGGAGGAAAGGACAAAAGGAAATGTAGATGAGCAACTACTGGGTGCAGGCTGCCACATGAGATTGTCCTTTACGATGGGGTCCCCCCCCAAAAAAAACCAGAATTATTTTTTAGGAGGTGCACCCTTTGTAGTACAGGTTTTTCTCACTAGGTGAGTGTTCTAGGAACCCATCAGCATCAGTGTACCAGCTAGCATTGCTGTGAGAGGCTGCATTCGGCTTCAGTGAATTTTTTTCTGGGGATTCTTTCAACACGTTTGACCATTTCATGGTGGGTGATTTACAGGAGCAACCTGACCACACTGCACTGAGTGTTCCGCAGTTTTTGGCCAAAAAACGGCATGACCCCTATACCCCACCCTCCCTATTCACCTGATCTCGCCCAAGCAATCTTTTTTGTTGTTGTTGTTTCCCCAGATGAAAAAAGTCCTCAAAGGGAAACGTTTTGGCAATGAGAAAGAAGTGAAACAAAAAATGGCAGAAGCGTCAAAACTGACGAGTTCAAAAGCTCAAACACATCAAAATTGATGAGTTCAAAAAATGTTTTGAGCAGTGGAAAAAGTGTCTGAATAGCTGCATTGCATCAAATGGAGAATACTTGAAGATGACTGAAGCTTAAACATGTAACAAACACACAATTTGTAAAAATCAACTCTGGATTTCTTTGGGTCCCCCCCTCATATATGACCTCATTTGTTCCTCACTACAACTCTCTTAGGTAGGTGTGGAGAGACCTATTTACAGAGGAGAAACTGAGGTTCAGACAAGAATGTGACTTGCCCAAGGGCCCATGACTGGATCATAATAAAGCTCGTCTCAGACCCAGGTGCCCTGACCCAAGAACTCAATGCCTACTGGGCTACACTCAGCATCAAACCCTGGTCTGGCTTGCACACTGTCATGGAACCTGTTGCTTGTGCCCTAAACCCATTCTCAGCCAGGCATAGTGGCTCATGCCTGGAATCCTAGCACTTTGGGAGGTTGAGATGGGAGGACTGCTTGAGCCCGGAATTTGAGACCAGCCTAGGCAACATAAAGACCTTGTCTCTACAGAAAGTCAAATCATTAGCCAGACATGGTAATGTATGCCTGGAGTTCCAGCTATTCAGGAGGCTGAGGAGGGAGAATCGCTTGAGCCCAGGAGGTCAAGGCTGTGGTGAGCTGTGATCATGCCGCTGCACTCCAGCCTGGGTGACAGAGTGAGACCCCGACTCAAAAAAAAAAACAAAACAAAAAAAAAAAACCACTCTCCCCATGATCTGTAGCTGGGCACACAGCCACCAGGATAAATGTCACATCTTCTAGGCTCCCCTTGCAGCTAGGTACGGCCAGGTAGCCACACTCTGCTCAATGGGACATGAGGGGAGATTCTGGGTAGTGTTCTCACAGAGAAAAGGTGTGGCTCCTTTAAATCCTCTGACTGACCTACGTGAGCAGGAGGTGAGAAACCAGCCTGCACCACACCAACTAGGGTAGCACAGCATCCTAGAGCAGGTGCAAACACGGTGCAGAGCTGAAGCCCTGGCACCATGAAACTGCCACACCTGCTCTAGACTAGCATACTAGATTTGTGACGGGAGATCAGTTTCTCGCTTGTGTGAATCACTGTTATTTTGAGTCTGCAAGAATAGTCCTAACATACACTCAATTAGAACACACACAGGCCAGTTTTGAAGTCAGACAGACCAGACCAGTACCTGAAGCAGCAGATACCCAATAAACAGTGGTTGCTTCCCACATGGGTGGCCAGGGGATGGTCATTTGGCTTGAGATAGGTTCTAGCAACTGCACCCACAGTTTTGCCTGTTGTTACAGGATTGACACTTGCCTTCAGGTAAGCTTAGCTGCCCTCACTCATGCTAGTCCCCAAGAGTCATCGGCTGATGCTACTACAATGACACTGCTAGTCCCAGCCAAGGCAAGGATCCATTGTACATGAGCACCACAGACGCCCCTCTACCCCTCCCCACTTCCATCTTTGCCCGTCCCCACTCCCACCACTGGCCATTCTCCCCACAGCAGGCTGAGTGAGCTCCTCAGAGGGACCAGACCTCCCTGTCCCTGTTAGGCTGACATTTAAGTCTCAACCCCTTATGGTGGCCTCCAAGACCCTCCCAGATCTAGCCCTGCCTTCCCTACAGCCTCACCTCCCAGATCACCTCTGCTGGCCGATGTTTAGTTCCAGAAAACGCCCAGATCATACCCTGCTCATTCCAACTTCTGTACTTACTGTTCCTGGGACCAGGCTGCTGTCCCTGAGATATTCGTCGGGCACAGGGGGACACAGGAGGCCCATCCTCACTGGGCCTATTCTACCTCTCCCGTGTCACACTCTCACTTCCCAGACACTGCCACAAAAGGACAGGCTCTTCCAGGACCCATGCTGGGGGCTTACCTCTGTCACTATAGTCATCGACAAGGATGACTTCTTCTAACAGGATGTCCGGGGATGTCTCGAGGACACTGTAAACTGTCCGAAGGAGCGTTGACCAAGCTTCATTATAAAATGCTATGATAACAGATGTCTTGGGCAAGTTATCATAGTCGTATTTCTTCTCTTTGCACCTACAAATACAACGAACCATCAGAACTGAGAACCCAGCCCAGGCCGATACTGGGGATGGAGTGAAGAAGGGGACACGGGTCCCCTGAGAAATGGAAAATAATCTGCTGGAGGATCTCCGAGAGTCCCCCATGTGCCACTAGGAGCCCCAGCAGAATCTCAGAAAGGGTCACCCAACAAGTTTTGACTATGGGATATTGCTTTAAGCCATAAAGCAATTTCAGATTTGAGGAGACTCAGGGGACACAGTCACTTCTCCCTCCCCAGCAGCCCTTCTATCTGTCTACTCTACTCCAATCCTGCAGCCAGGCATTTGCTCAGACTGTTTCCTCTGCCTGGAATGACCTTTCCTCCCTTCTGTACTTGGAAAATTTCTTGTCCTCTTTCAGGAGCAGCTCAGTCCTGTTCTCCTCTGCGAACCTCCCAGAACCGCTATCTCAAGAAGGTGTTGGCCCCTCAGTGCTCCTCCAGTGCCTGGCCCACCTCCAGCTCAGCATGTGCCACTCACAGTATTCTGTCACTCACACACCACCATGCCTCTCCCTACCTTCTCCCAGCATCCAGCAGTGTCTAAGAATAACAAGGGTGGTGTGCTGAATGAGTAAGCTAGAATTGTGACTAGAAGCTATGCACATTCTGGGAAGGACTCTGCAGAGGATTCCTGTTGGCCCTGCTTTACAATGTGGCAGTCCCACGGCGGGTCCTGACGGGTAGTGATGGGAACCCATATGCTGTGACTTTACACTGAAGGTGCCCTGGCTGGCAGAATTCGACCCTGAGTGACTGATGCCACACTCCCTGAGTCACAGGACTGACTAAGGATGAACACCTGGACACCATCAGTGGGAAGTAGCTAATGGCAAGATGGGAGAGGAACAAATACCCAGAGGGATGCCACAAGGATGCCAGAAGGATTCAAGAACGCCAGAGCTTGAATGCTGGGGACTGGCCAAGGGCTCAGAAATTCAAGAAGAGGGTAAAATGCAGGAGACCAGTCAGGCAGCTAAGGCGAGGCCTTCCCAGACAAGCTCAGACAGATGAAAGAGGACAGGACGGGAGAGGCCAAACTAGGCAGGAGGACAGCTGAAACGGACATCTGCTGCCTGTTGACCGTGTGCCAGCACTGTGCCGGTGGACCCTGTATCAGTCAGTCACCAAACACTTCCTGGTCCCCCACTACATGCCAGACAGGCCAGGCCTCTGCTGCCACAGAGCTCACATTTGGAAGAGAAATAATCAAGTAAACAAATCAATAGCTACAGAAAGTAGAGGATGAAGACTATAAGGAGGGTGATGAAAGACAGCAGCTATGGAAGAGACTAGGGAGAGGGAGGGAAACAACTACAGACAGGTAATCTGGGAGGGCCTCCCTGAAGAGGTGACATTTAGGATGAGACTTCAATAACAAGGGACCAAGCTCTATGAAAAGCCAGTGAAGAGCTCTTTGCATGCAAAACCTATTTACGAGCCAGGCTCGGTGGTTCAGCCTGTAATCCCACACCTTTGGGAGGCTGAGGTGAGTGGATTGCCTGAGCCCGCGGGTTCGAGACCCACCTGGGCAGCGAGACCTCATCTCTACAATAAATCAAAAAATCAGCCGGGCGTGGTAGCGCATGCCTGTAATTCTGGCTACTTGGAAGGTTGAGGCAGAAGGATCACTGGATCCCAGCAGGTCGAGGCTGTGGTGGCCGGGAGCAGCCACTGCACTCCAGTCTGGGTGACAGAGTGAGACTCCAACTCAAAAAAAAAAAACCTATTTACGTTTTTCCTCTTCTATTTTACTGTAAAAAAATTTCAAACATACAAAAAGTAGAGTAAATAAGAAACTGCTGGGTACCCGTTGCCCAGAGTCAACAGTTCTTAACGCAGGGTCAATCTTGATTCATCTATATCAACACCCACCATGATATGCTGGATTTTCATTATATTATATGCTGGATTTTATTTAAAAATAAATATTTCAATGTGTTTCTAACAAGTAAGGATTACTTTTTATAGTAAACACAATATCCTTGACATACCTTAAAAAATTAACAATTCCTTAGTGCTGACATAGCTTGTCTATAGTATTTCATCAAAGTTAGGCAGCTGTGGGTTAGAAGACACAACATTCTTTAATGACCCAGTAAGAAAGACAAATGCTGCCAAGTGTAACAGTGGATGCACTGATTCTTTTTTTAAATGAATACTACTTTTAGAAATGTGAAAATGTAGGGTAAAATGTGCCTTCACATCTATGAAATGTGTTTCATTTTATCTTCAAAACCACTTCCTCTGTTACCATCTATTGCTCCCATTTAGAGGTGGAGTAACTTGGCCAGTTCTCAGAGTACCTGCTAGTATGTCCTGGGATGAGATCTTTGTGTGCAGGGATTTTGTTATAAGGTTCTGGCTGTTGTTCCCCACAACAGAAGGCTCAGGTGGGCCATCTGACTCTAAACAAAGATCCCTGATTCACATCTCCCCATCCAGCCCTCCCTCCTACCAAAATATGGGTGATTTCCCTTCTCCTCCCCACCAGCGTGCCCCGTGAGTCCCAGGTCCCTCTTCCTAATGCTGGGACAGTGCCCACAGCGAACTCCCAGTTTCCCTGGCAGCAGCCCGGTTCTGTACTTAATGGGGTGGTTTCTCCACAACCATGAATAGGCTGATCTGAGAGTCTCTGATGGGAGCTGGTCCTTCCTCTTGGCTACCTTTACATACTCATCCCTGCTGCATCCAGAGACCTGCGCTGGGCGCTCAAGAAAAAGTCAGCCCAGGCTGGAAGCACGAAAGCTCTGGTGTCACAAAGCCACAGGGCATCCCTACTGGTACCTGGCAGGCCAAGAGCTGAATCCTCATACACCATGGGCTTTTAATCCATGGTAGTAGCTAACCTACCACTGACCCTGAGGAAGGCTTTGTGCTCCGTAGAGTGATTCTGGTCCACATTCAAGGGGAGGAGAATTCAGCTTCATCTCTTGAAGGGAAGGATATATTTTAAAACCACCACTAATGAACAACAAGAAAGAAATAAGGAACAGCATGCCTGCAAGAGGAACCCATGGCCATCAAAAATGCTTCTAGAGGATACTTACTGATAAGGGAGAATGGTGCCACTATAATGCTAAATCAAAAAAGCAGGGTGGAAATCTATAAATAGCCAATTCTACAAACAATAATGTGTGTATGAGTGCACTCACATATAACAAATAAGTGGTAGAAAGATACATGCCAAAAATGTTATAGTGGTGATCACTAAGAAGTGAGATTATTGCTGATTCTTATCTAATTCTTTATATTTTTGTACATTCGAAAATTGCTCTAGAATAGACATGTATCGTTCTAATCACAAAGAAATATTATTTTTAAAAGACTGGATCACAGTTCTTTAGCTCTGTATAGCAAGTGTCTTCACTGAGCAATCATTTAATGTTCTGTCCTTTTCCCTTTTCTTGGCTCAGTATAGTTTGGGGTTTTTTTGGGGGGGAGGGGGGTTTTTTGGTGTTGTTTTTTTTTAACCCATAAAAACAACTCATAAAGGGATTCTCCTTTATGAAGTTCAATATAGATACTCTTTGACTTATGATGGGGCTATATCCCAATAAATTCAACGTAAGTTGAAATTCATCTAGCTGTGTATGATGACTCACATCTGTATTCCTAGCACTTTGGGAGGCCAAGGTGAGAGGATTGCTTGAGCCCAGGAGTTCAAGACCAGCCTGGGAAACATAGAAAGACCTCTTCTCTATAATTAATCAAATTAGCCAGGCATGGTAGCACGCACCTATAATCCCAGCTATTGAGTTAGCAGACGCAGAAGAATCTCCTGAACCCAGAAGGTCAAGGCTGCGGTGAGCTGTGATCATGCCTATGCACTCCAGCCTGGGCAACAGAGTAAGACTCTAACTCAAAAAAAAAAAAAAAACAAACAAACACCAAAGCATTTAATAAATAAAACCTAGTGAATACCGTATAGCTTAGCCTAGCCTATTTTGGATTTGCTGAGAACACTGACATCAGTCTACCGTTGTGCAAAATCATCCAACACAAAGCCTATTTTATAATAATATATAATTATATTACAGATTATTAACATATTCAATATATAAAATATAATTTATTAAATAGTGTACTGAAAGTAAAAACCAGCATGGCTGCATGGATGCCATTGTAAAGTTGAAAAATCATATTGAACGATTTTCAGTCAGGGACCATCTGCATATCCTTTTGAAGCATCTCTAAATTTCCTTCCAGGAATAACACTTTCCCGTTCTCCTGACTGGTAAGAAGAGGAGCACCGTAGGGTTCCACTTTGCCTTGGATATAATGCCAAATCACAGTAAATCATCATCTCCCAAAGTTTCTGCTATATCCCATGTGTTTTGTGAGGGCAGTGCTTTGACAGCTGTGTTTGCCTTGAATTTTCAGCATTATGTGTACCTTACCTGGTAAGAACAGTAACATTTGTTTGCATGCTTACTAAGTGAGAGATACTGTGCTAAGCGTTTTGCATGCATCACTTCATATAACCTTCATAACAACCCTATGGGGGAGGGAATACAGTAATTCCTTCTAGTATAATACAGATCTATGCACTATATAAATATAACTGAATTGCAGTAAATGCCTCCAAACTTTTTTTTTTTTTTTTAGGAATCTCAATTTATCACCCAGGCTGGAGGGCAGCGATACAACCACAGCTCACCACAGCTTCAACCTTCTGGGCTCAGATGATCCTTCCACCTCAGTCTCCTGAGTAGCTGGAACTACAGGTGTGCACCACCATAACAGGTTTATTTTATTTTATTTTATTTTCTTAGATACTAGGTCTTGCTATGTTGCCTAGGCTGCTGGTCTCAAACTCCTGGGCTCAAATATCTTCTTCCTTGGCATCCTAAAGTATTGGGGTTACAGGTAAGAGCAACTGTGCCTAGCCCCAATATTCTTTTATCTTTAAATTAAGGTTATCACATAAAGTCTTAAAAAATAAAAAACAACTCATATCCATTTAGAATAAGGA